ATCATATTATCTGCAATGGTTGAATCCTATGCAATCCTGGGGTTGGTAAATTGAGGAGATGCAAGAGAAAAGTCTTGATGCAGACGGTCGGCAAGTTACAAACATCCGTACAAATGACTCGCAGTTATGATGGAGAAGAGACAACAGGAAGTGAGATAATTCACTCCTGAAAGAGTTATAATGGGAAAAAGGTATGTCCCTGAAAGCTTTGTTTCCACAATAAGCCATGTTTTTTAAAATCTAATAATCGCAGGGACAGGAAGTGAGGTGAAATCTTCTGAACAGGGGCACGGACAACTAAACAAACACAGGGGTGTTAACTCTTTCCTATGCTCTCTCTCCCTCCCCCTCTCTCTGTATATCTGGCATAGACACTGAGAACTGGGAGTCAGCTGTCAGCTGGAGGTCAGCTGTGACCAGCAGTGCTGTAAAAATTTGAAGAGGCATGAATGGAGGGCAAAAGAGAGAAACGTGCCAAGAGGAAGGTGCATCAAGCCAACCCAACCGGGACCGCCTTCCACCTGGAAGCCAATGCCCTCACTGCGGGAGAAGATGCAGATCAAGAATAGGGCTCCACAGTCACCTACAGACCCACCACCAGTACACCCATCTTGGAAGACAATCCAAGCATGTATATATAAATCTGCAGTTACACTTACAAAATGTACCTGTTTCCACTTACATACAAATTCAACTTAAGAACAAGCCTACAGAATGTATCTTGTTCATAACTTGGGGACTCCCTGTATTAAGTTTTAAGTAACGAAAGAACAATGACTTACAGTAGTAGCAATTTAAGAAAGAGATCTTTGGTGTTAGTATTGTGCCTTCAAGTTGTTTCTGATGTATGGCGATTCTAAGACAAAACTTGGAAACTATGAGATCCTGAAGTATAAAGATTTGTTATGGAATACTAACCTTAGTTAGGATTGTCCATGCCATTATATTTCCAGTTTCTATGTGTGATTGTGGGAGTGCAACTCATTTGAGATGTGGTGCTGGAGAAGAGTTCTACTATAGATAGATACCATGGACTGCTAAAAAGACAAATCAAGGGATCCTAGAATAAATCAAGTCAACCTCTTCCTATAAGCCAAGATAACTAGATTGAGACTTGTACTTTGAATATATCATAAGACATGACTCACTAGGAAAGACAATAATGTTGATAAGGTAGAAGACAGTAGGGAAAGGGGAAGATCGCAATTCAGTTAGATAGACTCAATCAAGGAAACCATGGTCTTGAATCTGAGGGATCTGATCAAGTCTGTTGATGATAGAGTGAATTAGAGGTCTCTCATTCATGTGGTTACCATAAGTCAAAGTCAACATGATTGCAGTTAACAACAACAAGGTGACTCTCTCATGAGGATTTTCGTGTTAAAATTTATTCAAAGGATGTTTGTCATTGCCTTCCTCTAAGGACCTCATCACATTTAGAAAATTCACCGTTGTAGAGCACTCAGCACGGAGGCCCACTGGATCTCATCACATGACGCACAGCTACTTCCAGCTGTGCGTGGCTGCTTTGGTGAAGTACTCTACGATGGGGTACTTACTTACCTAGGCGATCCCTCATTGTCTGAGTAGGACAATCCTCCGGGGTCAGTGTGCTGGCGGTGGGTCCGTAGGTGACTATGGAGCCCTATTCTTGATCTGCATAGTCTCCAGCAGTGAGAGTATTGGTTTCCAGGTGGAAGGCGGTCCCGGTCAGGGTTGGCTTGACATGCCTTCCTCTTGGCATGTTTCTCTCTTTCGCCCTCCATTTGTGCCTCTTCAAATTCTGCAGCACTGCTGGTCACAGCTGACCTCCAGCTGGAGCGTTCAAGGGCCAGGGCTTCCCAGTTCTCAGTGTCTATGCCAGAGTTTTTAAGGTTGGCTTTGAGCCCATCTTTAAATCTCTTTTCTGTTTTCCATTCTATTTTCCATTCTTAAGTTCGGAGTAGAGCAACTGCTTTGGGAGATGGTGGTCGGGCATCCAGACAATGTGGCCGATCCATCAGTGTTGATGGTGGAGGACCATCGCTTCAATGCTGGTGGTCTTTGCTTCTTCCAGCATGCTGACATTTGTCTGCTTGTCTTCCCAAGAGATTTGCAGGATTTTCTGGAGGCAGCGCTGATGGAATCGTTCTAGGAGTTGCATGTGATGTCTCTAGATAGTCCACGTCTCGCAGGCATATAGCAGGGTTGGGAGGACAATAGCTTTATAAGCAAGCATCTTGGTATCACTACGGATGTCCTGGTCTTCAAACACTCTCTCCTCCATTTGGGAAAAAGCTGCACTCGCAGTGTTGTATTTCAGTGTCAATGTTGACTTTTATGGAGAGGTGGCTACCAAGGTAGCGGAAATGATCAACTTTCTAATGTTATGCCATTAGCTGTATCATAGCATTGAAGATGGAAAATAAAGTTGGGGCAATAACACATCCCTGTTTGACACCTGATTCCACTTTAAATGGGTCACTTTGGGAGCTACTGCTGTCCAAGACCGTTGCCATCATGTCACAATGGGGTATTCTGAACACTGGAGGTTACCCATGTTCAGATTAAAAATCATAGGGAAAATGTAGGAGCACATCAGAAACGTACACTTTCCGGTGTGTGATGGGCAAGTGGGTGATGTGGGTGATGTGCGGATTTCTCCTATTTCCCCATTGCCCTATGAATCCCCCTGCTCTCCCCTGCATAAAAGACCCCCATGTGATGAGGTCCTAAGCCTGAGAGACTTTAGTTCTGTAACTGAGCAGGAATTCTTATGGAATTCTAGTCCAGCTTTCAAACTACTATTCCATGCTGGCTCACTTAATTCACACTGAAATAAATGGAACTTAAATAATAATTCACTAGTTTCATGGGTTTAAAAAAGATCTAAGTTCATACCCTGGATCTTACGATTGACTTTTGGGCAGCAGTGGCAATCCTACCATTCCACTGCCAGGCCTATTGCTGATCCCTCCCCCCCCCCCCACACACACATTTCTGCTCTCTGGCCTCTAGCCGCCTTGCAACGCAACATGCCATGCATGTGCCAACATGTACATGAATATGAAGGGAAATCATAATGCGAGCAAGAATTGCAGGACAAGGAAACTAACAGGCATAGTATTTTGTAAACTGATTTACTGTCTATGAGGTCATACTGACAAAAGGGTAAATATGCTCAAGGGCTTCCTTCAGGCATCCTTCTCTGTTTAACAGCATGGTAAAAGAAGCTTCAGAAACAAACCTGACTGAAAAGGTTTAAATATAGATTTTTTAAAAAAACATACAGCTTTTCTGGTGGGGAAAAAAAGAAACCAATCACTTTTCTCTTTTCCACCTCCTCACTGACAGGTAAGGGTTTAGAATCTTCCCTGGATACCAGGCCCGTAGCCAGGATTTCGTTTCGGGGGGGGGGGGAAAAAATTTCAGGGGGGGTTTCGGGGGGGCTGAGTTTCGGGGGGGGCTGAGTCTGAGTGAAAGAGGGTCTAGCCTAGCAAACCTTTTGTATCATTACCCCAATACCCCCATGCATATGGGATATATTGATTATGGTGATCAGATCATGATATGAATAAACATAACAGTTTAAATAATGCACCAGTAAGGCCTTTTCGCGAACCACCATGAGAATTTCGGGGGGGGGGGGGCTGAAGCCCCCCAAGCCCCCCCCCTGGCTACATGCCGCTGGATACAGAAAAGAATTGATGTATGTGAAATATTATTTCAATGCATGCGCGATGACATGATGTAGCAGTATCAGGCTTGTTCCAAAGAGTAGATGTGACATCTATATGGGATTATATTTCACTATATGATTAACTCCCAGGAACCATGGCAAGTGAAATCATAACACTATAAATGTGTGGTGTAAAAGGGCCCAAATAAATGAGATTGATTCTGAATACCTATTAGTACTAAAAGCAGAAATTGGCCTTTTTGCTATCTCACATGAAAAATACATTTTTTTTCACCTGTCAATTTCTCTCTGTTTCACAATCCTGACAAAAATTACTGGCACCAAACAAATATTACTGGTAAGGGTAAGCAAAATATGATATGAAAGATAAACACCTCTACAGTATCTTGGCACACAGCTATGTTTGGTTAGGGTGGTGAGACTAGTCACTGAAATGCACAATAAACAATACCTTGCCCTTGGCACACTGAGCAGAAAACTGCTGGGAACTGATTTGCAAGAAAAATTGCGTACCAGAATTACTTATTTGATGCTATAGCCATGTTTTGTTGACTAAAAAAATGTAAAGGGCATTGTTTAGATGAAGCCGAGTTAACTCAAGATGCAGGTCATCACCTATAAAGCCCTGAAGCGTTTGGGACATGCCTACCTTGGTGACCACATCTCCTACCACCAACCTGCGTGATCCCTTGAATACTCTGGGGAGGCCCTACTTTCGCCCCTTCCTCTATCACAGGCATGACTTGTGGGAACGAGAGAGAGCCTTCTCCGTGGTGGCCCCCGGCTTTGGAACTAGTTACCTAATGAGATTAGGCTAGCCTCCACCCTAACAGCCTTTAAGAAAGATCTGAAAACTTGGCTCTTCTGATGTGCCTTTCATTAATGACCATCCATCCCATTTCCGTCTGTTCCATCTACAGCATTGTCCTTATGATGCACTTTTTTGTTAAATTAGCAAGGCTCTCATTAGAAATCCTAAACTGATGCTGTTATTGATTTGAGACAAGTTACTTTAAATCTGGCATCTTTCCTGTGCACTTTCACTGATCATCACATTTTTCTTCATATTCATAATTATTATTAATTACTGGTATTAATTTTTAATAACCCACCTATAGCAATTATATTTGCATGTATATTAGGACTGTGCAAAAAGTCATCTGTGTCTCTTAGATTTGATCTATTTAGTAAGATTTGTACATATGACATAGAGAAGGGGAAATGCCGCTAATAGAGAGGAGTGGGGCATGGCCAAAAAAGGTTGGGAACCACTGGTATAAATGCACCCAGAGACAGAAAGGAACAAAAATGGGTAACTTACTCATGCATTAGCCCTCGGGCCACAGTATTTCCAAAGGCATGGGCTTCAAAGAACAAGGTGTATAAGTAAGGCAGAAGAGAGTATCTAATCTGGAGAGCTGTTCGAGCAATTGTAGCAAACTCAATCCCAAATGCTCCGGGGTCTTGTTCCTGTTATAAAAAAAACCCACAGCAGTTTGGATTAATACTCAGGCTAACTTATTAATATTTATGTAATCAAACCTACCATATTTCTTCACATAATAGTCACACTCCCCCCTCCATTTGGGGTGAGGGAAGGGATGCATCCATTATGTGATGAAATACTATACATCGCCCTCTGCTCTTATCCTGAAATATTAGGGAAAGATAATGATTTCAGGATTCATAATCCATTAAATATGACTTTTATTCAATTAACTGCCTGGCCTTTAACCAGCTAAATGGCAATTGAGCCAATAAAGATGCTTTCCTGACGATCCTAAAATGGAAAAAATAAGCTTTTATATGCTCGGTTTCAAACTATAATTTATGACTTAAATGGTTTATGTTTGTCTATGTCTGATGTTTTATAGTTTATTGGTTTGAATCCACTGCTGTATGCTATTTTAATCATGTGATATATTTTATACTAGCCGTCCCCTGCCACACATTGCTATGGCCCAGTTTGTGTATATGTGTCTTGTGTGTGTATATATTTGTGCATATGTGTATATATGTGTGTTTGTGTATATATGTGGTTTTGCACATGTGTTGTAATTTTTTTTTTGTTTTTTGGCTTTTTAAAGTCTCTTCTCAATTTTTCAGTGTTTTTGTGAGTGACTAGTTTTTAACTTTGTCTGTGTTTTTAAATACATTATAACTGTATCCACAATGCACTTCTGACATGATAAAGAAATACATAAATAGGAGAGAATGCTCCTGGAATTTATTTATTTTTTGTCGTGTCAGGAGCAACCGCTCCTGTTGTGAAAGAATTGGCCGTCTGCAAGGATGTTGCCCAGGGGACGCCGGATGATTTGATGTTTTATCATCCTTGTGGGAGGCTTCTCTCATGTCCCCGCATGAGGAGCTGGAGATGATAGAGGGAATCCGCCTCTCCCCGGATTCAAACCTGCGACCTGTCGGTCTTCAGTCCTGCCGGCACAGGGGTTTAACCCACTGCGCCACCGGGGGCTCCTGGAATGCCTTTGCCTTACAGCCTGAAAAACTCACAGCAACCCAGTAATTCTGGCCACGAAAGCCTTTAACAATACAATAATAATAATTTCATTCCTGACCCATCCCTCCTTGTGTTTAAAGGTGGGTTAGAGCATAACTAAAACACATTATATATAAAACTAGCTGTCCCCTGCCACACATTGCTGTGGCCCAGTCTGTGTATATGTGTTTGGTGTGTGTGTATATGTGTATATATGTGGTTTTGCACCTTTTTGATTTTTTTTTGTTTTCTTACATCCCTTTTGTTGTGTTTTTCAGTGTTTTTATGAGTGATGGTCACTTGTTGGCCTGATAGGTGTATTGTGTCCAAATTTGGTGTCAATTCGTCCAGTGGTTTTTGAGTTATGTTAATCCCACAAATGAACATTACAATTTTATTTATATAGATTTTGGGAGGCACTGAATTTTGGCATTTATTTTGTTGTGAACTGGTTTGAGTCCCCCACCCCAGGGGTTGAGAAAAGCAATAAATAAATAAATAAATAAATAGATAAATGAAAGAAGGAAGGAAGAAAGGAAGGAAGGAAGGAAGGAAGGAAGGAAGGAAGGAAGGAAGGAAGGAAGGAAGGAAGGAAGGAATTGCTACGGTGGAAGAAGGGATAGACCCAGACTGGAAAGCTTTCAGATCATCCCTATTCATCTATGACAGACGTTTCATGAAGAACAAAGGCATGCATATCATTTTAATTACATTTATGAAGAAGGTAAAGGTTTTATCCTCTTCATTTTATCTTTTAAACTGGTGATTCCTGTTTTTAAGGGGTTGGGTAGTGGGAGAGGGCAGGTGATCCATGATTTTGAACAACTGGAACTCTAGATATTATTTGCCCCACAATTCCCACCATCTCTTGTCAGAACTCTCAATGATGGAGGATTATGGGAGTTGAATTTTAGAAACCTCTGCCCACTTCTGTCTTAAAAAATTATTATAGCATGAGCTTTTGTTGACTATAGCCCACTTCAGAGCAAATAGATTTATTTACCTTATTTATACCCTGCCTTTCTCAACCTCATAAGGGACTCAAGGCGGCTTACATATATAGGCAACAATTTGATGACATGTAAAACATATTTAATTGAATAAACATATATATTAAAACAATAATTAAAAAGCATATCAAACCTTTAAAATGTTTGTTAAAATCGTGTTATCCAAAATCAGATTCCATAATTCTCTAGTGGGTTACTAACTGAACATCCATGTTTTTAGTATTTTCTTGAAAGCCAGGAGGAAAGGGGCTGATCTGACCTCATTAGGGAGACAGCTCCATAGTCAAGGGGCCACCACTGCGAAGGCCCTGTCTCTCATCCACACCAGTTGCACTTGTGAAGTGGGTGAGACTGAGAGCAGGGCCTCCCCAGACAATCTTACCTTGCTAGCTGGCTCAGTTGCGCCCATATCTTGGGAAGTCAGACTTGGCCACGGTGGTCCATGCTCTCATTACATCTAGGTTATATTACTGCAATGCCCTCTATGTGGGGTTGCCTTTGAAGACTGCTCGGAAGCTTCAAATAGTCCAGTGAGGGGCAGCCAGGATAATAACTGTAGTGGCGTGCAGGGAGAACACAACTCCCATGTTACACCAGCTCTACTGGCTGCCAGTTTACTACCGGGCACAATTCAAAGTGCTGGCTTTGGCCTATAAAGCCCTAAATGGCCCCCGGCCCAATTTACCTGTCCGAACGCATCTCCCCCTATGAACCACTGCAGAGATTAAGATCTTCTGGGGAGGCCCTGCTCTCGGTCCCACCACCATCACAGGCGCGTTTGGCGGGGACGAGAGACAGGGCCTTCTCAGTAATTGCCCCTCGGCTATGGAACTCCCTTCCTAATGAGATCATGTCAGCCCCCTCCCTCTTGTCCTTTAGAAGGATGATAAAAACGTGGCTGTGGGACCGAGCCTTTGGAAGTGTGCAATGAGGCAGCGATAGGAACCCTTAGTATGCCAACCAAATTCGATATGGTTGTTGAGACAGTTTTGACTAAAGGATTTTAATGTCAAGATAAGTGATTTTAATGTTTTTGTATGTGTATGGTCTAGTATGTTTCGGCATTGAATGTTTGCCGTGTATATGTTGTGCTCCGCCCTGAGTCCCCTTCGGGGTGAGAAGGGCGGAATATAAATGCTTTAAATAATAAATAATAATAGAGGGAGATACATTCTTAGGTAATACGTTTGGATAGATGTGCGTGAGTTATAAACGAGGGCTGTGCGAATCTGTTCTGTTCTGCTTTCGTTTTGAATTTTGGGTGCTCCCACCATCTGGGAGATTAGGAAGGTGGCCATTCAGATCCATAATTCAGAACCCTGAGTTTTATTTCTGTTTCGGGAAGAACGTTCCTGAAAACAGAAGAGGAAGGGGAACGGAGGGTGGGGGGTGGGACCCAAAATTTGAAACAAAAACAGAATGAAAACAATGCATTCTGTGCCATTTCACACACCTTGAGTATAAACTCCAAATTGCTTTATTTCTATGGACGTGCTTATTTCTTTGAGTATAATGAAGTATTTGCTCCACAAGGCTTGTGCCTTGCCAGATAAACTGAAAGTTTCAAAAGTTTAAGATGCTAAATATTCAATGTATTCATTAAAAATGCTTTCCCAGATTAACCAATCCTCACCTTTTTCAAAACAGAGTTTTAAAAGGCTGGGACCAGGAAATTTGCATCAAGGCCAAAAGCTGATGCTTTAACACAACTTGTGAAGTCTGCATTTTCCAGTTGTATTTGAAGATCAGACAATTGCATTTCCAAAACCTGCCTCCTTACCTTCTGACCAAGTGCATTGTGGTTCCTGGCTAAGGGATAAAATGCACCAAGCTGTGTCCAGCGCAGGCAGAGTTCAAAATCGGTATCAAAGTGAAAGCCGCAAATATCAGCACCAACCTGAAAAAAGGAACTAGAGCTGGTGATCTTATTCATATATGAATTTCTTCATGAATCAGAATAGTGGCAAAGATCTCTCTCGTCTCTTTCCTCTGAATCCCACCCATCTCCATTGGTCATTCCCTTTCATATGTGCCAAATTTATTTGGGGAGTTCCCCACCTTGCAGAATAGTCTGGAAGTACAGTGTTCCCTCACTACTTCGCGGTTTGCTTTTAATTTAAAATATATATTGTGGTATTTTAGTTTTGCGTTTTTTTGCCGCTCTCCAAGGTGCTTTCTCAGTCCTCCCTCCCTCCTTCCAGCCTTGAAGGGCCTGTTCTTCCTTTCCTTCACTTTATTTTTAGTTTATAATGACATAAAATAGTGTATTACTACTAGAATAATGTATAAATATTAAAATAAATATAGCGTCCCTACATCGCGGTTTTTCACCTATTTGGGGAGGTCCTGTAACGTAATATTACAATGTTCCTGTAATAAGTGAGGGAACACTGTAATATCAAGTACAAATCTTATCATTTCCTAGAAAATCTTACTGAAATGCTAAATAAGTTTGTTTCTAGGTAACAACTGTAATTATCTTTCTCAATCCACATTAGCATAAGAAGGGTAATCGTGTATTAGCGTAAGCTTTGATATTTCACTATTCCAGGGCTATGGGCACATTTCCGTTTGCTAAGGTTTCTTCCTTGCTTCTCTCACAGGCTTCAGAATACAAATTTGGATAGAAACATTTCAGTCTCTGACTTCCATAATTATGAAAGTAAAAGGTAAAGGTTTCCCCTTGGTATTTAGTCTAGTCGTGCCCAACTCTGGGGATGGGGTGGTGCTCATCTTCATTTCTAAGCCGAAGCCGGCATTTTCCGTAGACGCCTCCTAGGTAATTATTTATTTATTATTTATTTATTTTGAACATATCTAACCCGCCCTTCTCAACCTCTGAGGGTGGCTTACACCGGTAACAATTTGATGTCACAAGATAAAACACTATAACAAATAAAACATCAAGGTAAAACAGATTAAAATCCCATTGAAACATTGTCAACAATTCATATAACCAATTCCAATCCGATCGAAAGTGCTGCCATGCTTTCTGTCCAAAGGCCTGGTCATGTGGCTGGCATGACTGCATGGAGCACTGTTACCTTCCTGTCGAAACAATATCTATTGATCTACTCACATTTGCATGTTTTCGAACTGCTACATTGACAGAAGCTGGGGCTAGCAATAGGAGCTCACCCTGTCCCATGGATTCAAACTGCCAACCTTCTAGTCAGCAAGTTCTGCAGCTTAGCGGTTTAACCCACTGCACCACTTTGGCCCCTTATTATGAAGGAGGTTTTCATTATTTGCAATCATCTTTTCATATTTAAAATTTGAACTTACTTCTTTTTTATTTTTTTATTTTTGGGGGTTTTATTGCATCTTTTGACTTCAATGTACTTTGCAATTTTAAGAATGAAGAATCTTATCAAAATTTTCTAAAATAAGAAATAAGATTTTCTTTTATCTGATAACTGTGGCAAGAATAGTTTTGGCCAAATTATGGAAATCTTTTGAAATACCCACTCTGGAACAGTGGATTTTGAAAGTAATGGACATCATGAATATGGACATAAAAGGTAAAGGTAAAGGTTGTCCCCTGACATGAAGTCCAGTCATGTCTGACTCTGGGGTGTGGTACTCATCTCCATTTCTAAGCCGAAGAGCTGGTGTTGTCCATAGACACCTCCAAGGTCATGTGGCTGGCATGACTGCATGAAGCGCCGTTACTTTCCCGCCGGATTTGCATGTTTTCGAACCGCTAGGTTGGCAGAAGCTAGGGCTGACAGCGGAAGCTCACGGCCGCTCCCCAGGATCGAACCTGCGACCTTTCGGTCAACAAGCACAGCAGCTCAGTGCTTTAACCCACTGCGCCACCAGGGGTTCTGAATATGGACATACTTACACAAAACATGTCACACAATAATGTAAAAATATATAGAACGGACTGGGAAAAATTTCTGGAATTCCTGAAAAAGGAAAATACAGAAATTTCTATCCGCAGGATATGAATGAAATTCAAAGGACCAAACACCACTAAATCAATGACAAAAGGAAACTAAGGCACAGGAAAAAAAAGATGAATTCACAATCTGGGGAGACCTGGAAGTACTACATTCACTTTTTTTCTCATTTTTTTCTTTCTTTTTTTTTGACCCCCCCTTCCTTTCCCCGGCCCTCCCCCCTTTTTTTCTCTCCCCTTCTCCCTCTTTTTTTCTTTCTTTTTCTTTTCCTTTTCACTCTCCCCTTCTATCCTCACTTCTTTTTTTGCAGAAAATGCCTAATTTCTTACTTTTCTCAACCATATTGTTCTCACAGTCTATGTAAAAATGATTATACTGATTTATATAATCATTTATAATTTGGTTCATTCATTCAGTTGTTTCTGACTCTTTGTGACCTCTTGGACCAGCCCACGCCAGAGCTCCCTGTTGGCTGTCACCACCCCCAGCTCCTTCAAGGTCAATCCAGTCACTTCAAGGATCCCATCCATCCATCTTGCCCTTGGTCGGCCCCTCTTCCTTTTTCCTTCCATTTTTTCCCCAGCATAACTGTCTTCTCTAAGCTTTCCTTTCTTCTCATGACGTGGCCAAAGTACTTTATAATTTATAAAGTATCATTTATAATACTATATTTTTTCCTTTTTATTTTTTTTAATTTTTTCTCCCTTTTTTCTCTTCTTTAAATTTTGTTTCTTTTGTTTGTTTTTTGTTTCTTTTCTTTTCTTTTTTCTCCTTTTCATTCTGCTCTTTTCTTTATGGAACTAATATTTTATTCTCAATATAAATAATTCAAGAAAAACAATTTCATTTTTTTTCTAAAATAAATAAATAACACACACCCAAATGAGTTCTTTCGGAATAACTTACTTGTGGAATTCCAAAAAGGTTGAACTCCAAAATTCCAATGATAGACAAGTGCATATCTTCCCAGAGAGCATGGTTGTCTCCTAGCCAATGGGCTGCATATTTTCCATTTCCAACAAACGTAGAGCGACTCAAGACAAAGGGTCTTTTCCCTGTGGCTTGCTGAACAGCCCTAGGAGTGGGGAGAAATGCATCCATCTTAATCAAATCTGGTTTTTACAAAGCCATTTTCACCCTTTAGCTTGAAAATTGGAAATAAAACCTAAATGGAGACTAAACTTCAAATAAAACTTTGAAATATCCTTCAGTTGTTTCTAGTTTAATTGTCCTTTGACTCTCAATTTCCTCTCTCGGAACTGCATAGTGGTTTCGTCTCAATAAAGATTTCTTTACCAGATGAATACTCCACTTCTCTTTTCAACTTCAAAGAATATATACTTGCTTGCATTTTCAAAAAGATCAAATAATTTTTGATACTGTGACTTGCTGAACAGCAGCAACAACAAAACCTCAAGCATACTGGACAGAGTTATTTTGAATCTATGCATTTTTATCGTTAGGTGTGATATTTATCCTTAGGTGTGATTTTATTTGTGTCCATTTCTGAGCACAATTCAAAGTGCTGGTCTAGGCCTATAAAGCCCTGTACGGCTCCAGCCCAGCTTACTTGTCTGAATGTATCTCCCTCTACATTCCGCCTCATAGTTTAAGATCCACCGGGGAGGCCTTGCTCTCGGTCCCACCGGCCTCGCAAATGTGTCTGGCAGGGACAAGGGACAGGGCCTTCTTGGTGTTGACCCCCGCTTGTGGAATCCACTCCCCAGTGAGATTAGACCAGTGTCCTCCCTCCTTTCCTTTAGGAAAAAACTGAAATTGAGGTTTTGAAACCAGGCTTTTGGCTAGCAGGCACAACGGCACTTTGGACATTGAACTGGACCATATGATTGTTATAATAATGAAAATGGCTACATGACTGTATAATCAATGTTGCTGTTTTTAATCTTTAGGGTATTTATGTTTTTATTGTTGTTATATTGTGATATTGCAGCACCAAATTGTTGTCAGTGTTAGCTGCTCTGAGTCCCCCCTTGTGGGTTGAGAAGGGCAGTGTTGGGACTCAGCCTGTGTTTGAGGCTGAATCTGTGATTGTGTTTCCCCCTTCTAATGTTTGTGGGTCTGACTTGGGTAGTGAACTCGATGTGATCAATGAGGATGAGGTGCAAAATGGAGACACTTTGGACAATAAGGTTACTGCAGACTCTGATCGAGAAGGGTCAGAGGAAAGGCTACGTTCTCATGAGAAAGGTCCTGTGACAGCCAGGGAAGATAGTTTATACCCTTCTCCAAGCCTGAGTTTGCAAGATAGTTTCACACCTGCTGCAGCTAATGAGGAAATAGATAAGACCAGTCGCCGTTTGGAAATCAGCCAGAGCTGCCGAGAGGCCCAATGTTTATGCAGGTCAGAAAGAATTTGGCAGTTAAGGCCAAAAACTGGGGGGGAGTAGGAACCAGTTTTTGGGACTTAAATTGAGCTCTTAGAGAATTTTCTTTAGACCAGGCATCGTTTGGAATCTAGCTCAAGTCTCCTGGATATTCCTGTTCATGTGGCCTCGTCTCTAAGGATTCTTGGTTTTTCGAGTGGATTAGCAGTGGCTAGTCTGATCATAGCTTTATTTATTATTTATTTCATTTATTTATTTGGGGTGCTTCTACCCCGCCCTTCTCAACCCCCTAGGGGGGACTCAGGGCGGCTTACAAAAGGCACAATTCGATGCCGACAGTTACAAAATACAATACAATATACAATACACAAATTACCATATACTATCACAGTTATAACTAATTAAAACAATCAACAGTATACTAGCATCAATAAAACATCTAGTGGTCAATGTTCACCAAATCCAAAGTCCGTAAACCATTTTGCATTGTCATTGCCTTTCCTACTCTGGTCATTATTGGTTGTCCTTGTCCATCTGCCAGCTTACCCGAAGGCCTGGTCCCACATCCAGGTTTTTAGCTTCTTCCTGAAGGAGAGGAGGGATGTTGATGTCCTAATTTCCCCGGGGAGTGCATTCCACAGGCGAGGGGCCACCACCGAGAAGGCCCTGTCCCTCGTCCCCACCAGTCTCGCTTGTGATAAAGGTGGGGCCGAGAGCAGGGCCCCCTCAGCAGATCTTAGATTCCGAGGTGGGACGTAGAAGGAGATACACTCGGACAGGTACGCTGGGCCGGAGACGTAAAAGGTTTTGTAGGTCAAAACCAGCACTTTGAATTGTGCTCGGAACTGGTTTGGCAGCCAGTGGAGCTGACATAACAGGGGGGTGGTATGCTCCCTGTATGATACTCCGGTGAGTAGTCTGGCCGCCGCCCATTGGACTAGTTGAAGTTTCCTAATAGTCTTCAAAGGCAACCCCACGTAAAGCGCGTTGCAGTAATCTATTTGGGATGTAACAAGAGCGTGGACCACCATGGCCAGATCCGACTTCCCAAGGTACGGGCGCAGTTGGTGCACAAGTTTTAATTGTGCAAAAGCTCCCCCGGCCACCACTGAGACCTGGGATTCCAGGCTCAGCGACGAGTCCAGGATCACTCCCAAGCTGTGAACCTGCGTTATTCTAAGGGCTTTTTGGCTATTCATTGCATTTGGATTATTTCTGCAAGCTTTGGGACATTGTTATTATTCCTTTGTGTGGACACTGCTTATGTTGCTGCTTATTTGGCTTTTTGCTTTTGGACTTCTACTTATTTTTATAATCATCTCTTTTCTTGGCTTCAGTTATTCTACAAATAAAAAGGACTCTTCCTTCATTCAAGGTGTGGTGTAATTAATGATTAGAGGGTCCTGTTCCTGTRCTAGGATGCAACAGGCAAGGTAGAAATGTTGTAAATAAATAAATAAATTTTATTTAACCAAATATATTGTATTAATAACTAACAGTTTCAGAATTTGGAGGACTTCATACACATGGCTTCTGTTAAATTTGTTGGAAGATTTGAAGGCTGTAAGTTTTTTCGAACTGCCAGCTCTGGGGCATAACTAATGGATTWTCCTGATTAGATTGATTGAACTTCTGTGCAGTCTATTCATGAATTCTTGCTCTTAAATAACATAACTTGAATATTTTTTGTTAAAAATATATGAAAGCAGCAGAGCAGTCATATAGGTCTTCATATTATAACTGCAATATATATGAACAATTCGTGAATATATTTGAGTTTCAAATCCAGAATGCTTCGGGTTCTACAAAAAAGGATTTTTATTTTTCAGCTCTTTCTGCTCTTCCCTCTCTGTGCAACATGAGAAGCCTCCCGTGTTGATGCCACGGTGGCATATGCCAGTTCATCTCCATTTGTGCCATGAAGCTCTGCTGGAAGTAGCTCTAAGTCATGGATGGAAGATGGCGGGCTACGTGAACCAAATGGAAAAGAACTGGCATATGCCACTGATTTTAAACCTATCTGATGGGGTCGTTGGAGAACTTTTGTTCATAGGGTCACTATAGGTTGGAGCAAACTTGACAGCTCTGCCTCTCTCCCTCATGTGTTGACTGATGGCATCATTTCCAACAGACTAATTGAACCATTTCCATTTAGCTGGTTTATTATAAATATTGATTTTATTTTCTCTCCTCCTTTCCTCCCTCCCTCCCTCCCTCCCTCTGTCTTTCCCTTTCATGCTCTGTTGTCTCTCCTTTCCTATCTTGTAAACTGTTATAGGGACCCCCCTTTGCTAAAAGGTGGTGTATATCTATATATCTTCTATCATATATAAATTAAATATTAAATTAATTAATTGATTGATTATAAATAATAATTAAATATAGTCAATGTTTGTATGTATGTGGGGATGTATGTATTTGTGTATGTGGCAGCTTTCTGATTGGCTCCCACTTCCACAGGCCACTGCAACCTCCATGAATCACTGACCTAGACCAAACTTAGCACGCATAACCCCCATGAGCCACTCTATGTCATGGTGCAGATTTGGGAGGATGGACCACTGGTGATGGGATTTGCAGCACTGTCAATCACTTTGGCTCCCAAAGTCCATGGTGATTCTCACCAAACTTGGCACACAGGACCAAACTTGGCACACAGAAGCCCATGACCCACTCCACATCCTGGTGCAGTCTGGAGGAGGATGGACCACGGATAATAGGACTTGCATTGCCTTCACTCATTCGTGAGACCACTGAGACCAGCATGAATGACAGACCTGGACCAAACTTGACACACATAACTCCCATGACCCACCTCACACCATGGTGAAGTTTGGGGGAGGATGGACCACGGGCAATGGGATTTGCGGTATCTTCATCTGATTTACTTCCCTCAGTACACTACAGCCCCCACAAATCACAGACCTGGACCAAACTTTCCGCACAGACGCCCCCCCCCCCCCATGGTTTGGAGGATGACAGACCATGGATGATGGGCTTTGCAGTACCTTCACTCAATTCTAGAGACCACTGCAACCCACACCAATGACTGATCAAGACCAAAATCAGCACACAGAGCCCCCCGACCCACTCTACATCCTGGTACACTTTGTGCGATGATGGACCACAGATGATGGGACTTTCAGTACCTTCACTCATTTCCAGAGACCATTACAACCCTCACCAATGACAGATCAGGACCAAACCTGGCACATAGAGCCCCCAAGACCCACTCTGGTGCAGTTTGGAGGAGGATGGATCATGGAAACTTGCATATGGGAGCTGTAGTTCACCTGCACCCACTGAACCCAGCCGACACTGGATCTAAACTAAACTTGGAGCACAGACAAACAATGCCTTTCTCAAATTGCCCGGGCACTGCCGGGTCCCCAGGCTAGTATGCAATAAATATATTCATAAAGTGATCTTTTTTTTTAAAGCACTCTATATATTTCAGTGTAGAAGGGCCCTAGAGATTTCTGGAGAAGTGCTCTCCCAGTTTGAAAAATTGTGTTTGTAAAATTCACAATTTCCTCATGCTCCTACATTTTTAATAACATATTAATTAATTAATTAATTTAAAGCATTTATATTCCGCCCTTCTCACCCCAGTGGGGACTTGGGGTGGAGCACAACATATATATGGCAAACATTCAATGCCAGAACATAAAATAAACTATAAAAATACATAAACACTAAAATCGGTCATCTTCACTTTGAAATCAATTGT